TAAATTTGTGATTTTTTTTTTTAATCCATGATCGATTTTTTTGAAAATTTGTTATTTATTTTTTTTAATCCATATTATTCAAAGAGAAAATGAGAGAGATGATGATTCTGAGGCCACCCTATCCCAACCATATTATTCACATATCGAGTCCCAACTGCAACAGTGTAGGTGAGCATGAAGGATGAACAATCTTCGGGGATTTTAGATTGGGAACACAATAAAACACTAACACTCAGGGATTTGGGAATCGTCAGACACCTGCTAATATCGATGATTCGTTTTTAGATCGAATCAATCAATTGTTAAACGAATTCAATCAATGGCACCAGCGTGACCAAGAAGAACAATAACATCGTCTATCATTTTATTTTTAGATCATGTGTTACTAATTTTATGCTTTATTGTAGTCCATGTATGTTGATATACTTATTCCATGATAATTTTATGTTTATCCTTTTGTATGATGTAAATTAAATGCTGAATGGCGGTTCATGCTGGGAAAGAACATATCAATATTCGCATATTCATTCAAAAACATGAAAATTCTTAATGGAGTACCCTCATTTCTTATTGAATTCCTAAAAAACAATATTTATAATGAATTTTAATAACTTTTTCGGATTTTTTTAAGCTTTATTCTGATCGATTCACCCGATTCCCGATCCGAATAGCCGATTCGCCGATCCGGATCGATTTTTTGGGAACCCGATCCGGGTCACCGATCCGTTTTTTAAACCATTGCTTGAATGTTTTTGAGGGTCAAGGATTAAATGTGGGTTTTTTTGGGGAATCACCCGATCTTTTTTAGGATCGGTCGTTTTAATTGTTTTTTTGGGAAAAGTTTATATAGAGCCGAGACTCTAAACAATCAAATTAGAGCCTACCTCAAATCTCATAAAAACAGGTTGTTTTGATGCTCAAATATCCTCAAATTGATCATCTCAACATCAAGATGCACGGACATGAGAAAAAAAATGGATTTCAAGTTTTGAAAATTATGTATTTTGTAACGTATTTTTGGACCATCAATTTTCAAGATTTTCAAGTTTTCATAGATCTATCGATCTACACTATTTTTAAAGCTTTAAAATTTATAAATAAATATTAAAATATATTTTTAAGCTATCACAAAGATTTTTAGTATTGAAACAATATTTCTCGATATTATTTGAAGGTAGACTCTAATTTGATTGTTTAGAGGCTATGCGCTATACAAACCGCACGTTGTGAGCCATTGAGACAAGTTTTCGTGATATTGAAAGTTCCAAATATTGGGTTTTATCCCAATTTTGATCTCCGATCTCTCAAATTTCAAGTCTAATCATTTCAAACCGATTCAAAACTTGTAAAAATTGCATTTTCATTCGAAACCAATTCAAAAACTAAAATAATAAAATAATAACTTGTATTTCAATTCAATATTTTTTTACAATTTCACGGAACCAAAATGGCTCAAAAAGAGCCATTTCAAAATGTGATGCAACGTTTGGAACCTTGAAATGTAGTTTTTTTGCCACTGAAATGTGATTTAGTGTTTGAGTTCAATAAAATTGGTTCAAAAAATGATCAAAAGGATCCTCAAATCGTCTTTTTTTAATGAAAAATATTGTTTAAGAAAAAATATCATTTAAGGGGTTGAAACCCTTGCAAAATTGTTCAAAACGTAAAAGGGTTAAATTATCTTGCTTAACATTTCAACTGGTGTTTTTTATTTTCATTTCGTTCAAGTACCTCCTTAAAAAACACAAATTTTCAAAATACCTTTGTCAAGTTTGGACTCATACCCATGTGTGTAGAACCCCAAAGGATCGCCATTAAATTTGGCACAGATCTCTAGAAAAGTAATCACATGGGTGAAAAAATAACTTTTCTAAAGATCTGTGTAAAATTTAATGGTGATCATTTGGGGTCCTATACATATAGGTGTGGGAGGATCTCACAAGGTCATTTCCCTTCAAGTAATTGGACTTACTTAATATAAAAAATACGCTGCTTGTTCAATATTACGAACAAGGAACCACGGTTAAAGGTTCCTATTAAGGAACAATTAGGGTTATTTGTCTTTTGATATATGCATGGCCTTTAGAAACCACATGATAAAAATACCTCCAATTGTTCCTCATTATTAACTCTAAACAATGTGTTATGTAATACTGAATAAGCAGGGTTAATTTCGTCGTTCGATTAGGGCCTCTTGAGGGTCAAATTACTAAAATGTCACTAATTGTTCAAGCTTCTCAAGCTTGAACAAGGATAATTTGGAAGTTCTAAATTTTTTTGAGGAAGTAAACTAAAAGAAAGAACTCATCACATGTTAATTGAGATCATTTGGCTCCTTAAGTGATTTTGTAAGCGATCCCCTAAATGATATTTTCTCCTTTCATAACTATTTTGAGTATTTTGATTCGAAAATTTTGAATTTACTATTTGAAGCGGTATTTTTTGGGGCCATTTTGAATGATTTAGTTTTTTTTGTATCTTTTAATCAACTTTACGGAAAC